CCCCAAAACCCCAAAACCCCAAAACCCCATTCGAAGTTATTGATAAGTGAATTTTAAATAGGATATTGATAATTTTTGGATTAAAAATGAAGTAAAATAAGGTGAATTAAGATTTGAAGTTACTCTTGCCTCAATTCGATCATTTAATGGAGCCAAGATCTTATACTAAACTCTCTGAGCATCAACTAGATGAAGATCACATGACTCTTGCTAATCAAATCAGTAAAAAGCAAAACAAATATCTATTTGATTTGTACACTCCATAAAAGATAGCAAGCAAACTTGAGAAAGTCTTTTTGCTAGAATTGGAAAACGCTTTTCAATAATTTCCGAATTAAAGAATGGGCCTTGTTGACTTTATAACTTGCTTTCTTAGTATAGTCAAACATAAGAAGGAGTAACAGATATTTTTGGTTAGCGGCCTTATAGACCTGTTTATAGAAATCACAGAATACAATAACACAAAAGAACTCTTCTGGGACCATTTTACCAATTTCTTAATTGAAAATGTGATAGAAGCTGATATAAATAATAATCTAGTCAAATCTAAATATATCTCAAGTAATTCGATTGCATTGTAATTAACTCATTTTAGAATTGATGTCTGAAAAGTTTGAAAATCTTTACAACAGTTAGCATGTAAAAGGATTTGCTCCCGAGGTTCTTGGAGGAAGTGATCTCTGCTTAAGAAGAATTGCTCCTTCGAAGAAATAAAATGATAGCAATCATCATAACTAAGGCATTAGAGTGTATTCAAATTTAAATCATATTTACTTATTTTAGGATTAATTACTCCCCAGAATTAAGAAGAGTGATAGTTCTGGACAACATCACTGAGAATCTCATTCTCTATGATGAGCATTCATAGGTGCAGAAGAAGCTATACACAAATAAAGAAAATCACATTCTGGATACTGCTATTCTTTATTTTGGATACTCAAGATCAGAGAAAAGAGTAATTTTTGAAAAATAATCATCAAATAGATTGGTGCTTGTCTATAAGACTATACATTAGCTTTTTGGGACATCTCTGATAACTTCAAATTTGAAAAGACCTTTTCTACTAATCTTGACGTGCTAAATGTCTTTATAAAATATATTGAGTTTAGCGGTACTTGGATTACATATGATTAAAAGAATGTGATATTTGTATGGGATATTGAGAGAGAATCTTCCATAAAACTGCCACACAGAAATTAGTAAGCAATTAATACTTTTGAAACTTTATAGGGAAAAAATTATGGATATATGTGAAATCCCTCACTTAAAACTATTAGCAGCATGCTCACTTGATAAAAAGCTTGTCTTTTATGATATAATTGCAGAATCTTGCGTTCAATAGATTCAATTTGAAACTGTTAGTGCTCACTCTTTGGTATATGCTCATGATTTCATGGTACTGTTGAGCGCAGCTTACGAAGATTTCGCACTCATTTGGATTTTTGATGGAATAGATTGTTCTATTGGAGGAAAGTTGAAGGGTCACAATGCTCAAATAACTGCCATTAATGTACTTATTGATACCCCTCTAGCGATTACAGCAGATGAGATAGGCTTTATTAAGACTTGGGATTTGAGATATTTTAACTGTGTGTAGACAATACATTTCGAGAGCAGATAGCCTATTCATCAATTCTTGAATATTAATTCTAAGCTTTTTTGTGGAGCCGAAATTAGACTTCATTGGTTTGAGTTTGAAGATGAAATAAAAGTGAATGCTAATGGCATCGAGGTAAAATTTACTTTAATAAGTTAACACTTATAGATAAAAAATAATCCACCATTGTGTATCAAGTATAATCAAATGTTTGAATAACTTGTAGTCGCTACAAAATCTGATGTTAGACTAATTGATGTACATTCAGGAAAAACGTTGTCAATACTTGCTAATGTCATTTAGCCAGAGGAAGAAATCACTGGAATAAAGCTATATCTCAATCACAAGAAAATGCTTCTTTGTGATAACAAAGGCAATCTCAAGAATCTTTACCTTCCAAATGGCTCTCTTTATGCTAATCACATTGGACATCATTAAGAAATAACGTAAATATATGTAGATTATGCTAATAAGTTTGTACTAACTGCAGCTTGGGATTCTTCTGTAACATATATTTTATAAGTAATTTCTTTAGATTCAACTTCAATAAGAGAGATTAAAGAATAGTTAAACAATTAGATAAATAAAGAATGCTCATTTTGGATTAGAAATAAATTGTATGGCTGTTGAACTAAAGCTAAGCATGTTCGCTACTTCATCAGCTGGAGCCATTTTTGTAATTATATAATTTTATGACAATACATCTTTTAGATTTGGGATTATGAGACTTTTAAAATGATTGGAGCTTGCTCCAATGACTTTGAGGATATCCACAAAATCTAATTTCTCTACCCATATAATTGTTTGATATCTCTAGATACTTCCTCTCAAGTAATATTTTGGACTTGGGCTAATACAAATGCTTTTAAATTTTTGACTCCAGCCGTCAAAATAAATTTAATTTCGCCGAGAGGGAGGGCTTTGAACTGCAATTAAATGTTTGCACTAAGATTAAAGCTATTTGATATGGAATTCTCAACAAAAGAGGAATTATCATAGCCATTGCCTGCAAAATTATTAAAAGGAATGGAAAATAATTAAAAGTAATACTGCCTTTATTTAGCTGATGAAAGAGGTTAAGTTTATGCTGTTGACATTAACCATATTTTGGAAGATGAAAAATTAATATTTCCAGCTAAAAATGCAATGAAGAGAACTAATTACTATCCATTAAGAACTCATTATTCAAGTTCAAATGGAATTTTCTATACAATTGAAGAACTAAAGCAGCAAGTTGAAGAAAATATAGATTTTCAGAAAAGTCTTTTGATTGATTTTCCTTCACTAGATATGATTAAATGGCATGTTTCATAAGATGTAAGTATATTAATTGGTATAAATTTATGTTAGTTCTTAACAATATTTATGCATCTGAAAATCCCAAGATACTTGCTGTTGACATGTAACAATACATCTGTTATAAGAGTATGTTTGCTTAACTCTATTAATATAAAATTTTAGATGTGGTCTATATTTGGAGAGCTTTTATGTGTGTCTAACATCGAGCATCCTCTTCCATACAGATGGAGAATTATCCTCGACAACGATTCTAAGAGGAAGATTAAACTGCTTAATTCTTTAAGAATTCTATAAGAAATTGGCAAAAGATATCCAAATTTTTAGGTTTAGGAGTTTACTAAAAATATTGAGGATAATAATCCTAAAAGAGAACCCTAAGTAGTTACTTTTGCAAAACTTCTTCACTAAATAGAAGTCGAAGATAAAGAACAAAGTAATTATAAGCAAGTCATTTAATTGATCCCATTTTAGATAAAAAGAATACCATATCACTAAAATAGATGGAATTAAGAAAAAGCAAAAGAATTTATGCTTCAGGAACTACTGACGACTTTATCAATGTAAGTATTAATAATCACTAACAAATATTAAGTCTAAAAAAAACAAGAATTTAAACAATCAAAAGCTTTTCGAAAAAGTTTCTAATCATGGAGCTAGCTCATAAGCCAGACATTAAGACTCGCAACCGTAATAGGAAAAGCAAAATTTTGGACCAAATTTTAGCATCATCGAAAAAATTGAAATAATGTTATAAAAAGATCCAAAAGAAACCTAGAATAAATAAGTTTTGATAAAGAGATTCGATGAAGACTACAAAAAATTCTAGAAGCACGGTGAACACTTCCTAGAAAGAATATAACCTCATTATGTACCTACAATAAAATACTAAGAAATACCCAGTGTTTAATTTGATACAGTTAGCAAGAATCTAGGCAACAGTACACTACAATTGACTGAGATTTCTCAATATAAAAATCCTATGCTGAATACTTCTAAATCTTCAAATTCTTAGAACTTTACATTCAATCTTAATAATACTAGATCATCCACAAGTTTGTATGTTTATTAATGTTAATCATTAAATCTAGATTTCCAAGAGAGAACAAAGGAGAGAAAGAAATAGAGTGGCTAAAATATGCTATTGTGAGAGAAGAGACACTTCCGAATATATTGAAAAATAATGTGGGAATGAAAAATTACATCAGCAATGTGCCTTACACTAAAGACGACTCATTTTAGATTCCAAATCTTGTGAAAAGAGGGCAAGTAAGGGCTAGAGTCTAGTTGTTACAAGAACTCAATCAATAGGTATTAATTAGTATTCATTAATTTTTAATAGAGAAAATAATCTCAAGGATAGTTTAAGCAAGCCATCAAATTTTAGGCAGTCACAAGCGACAATAACAATGAAAAACTAGGAATCCCTGTTTTCTAGAGGAAGATGCAGAGCAAAGAAAAGAAAATGAAAAAGCAAAAATCAGTTAGGGTTCTTGGGGATATATCATTGCATTCTCCAGCCTCTTAAACTTAAAATAGAAATCATCTACAGTCTCATATGATTCTCCCTTCAGTTTCAACCAGAGTTACAAAGCTTACAGTACCAACATCTCCCGCTGAAAGAAACCATTTGTGATAAATTCAAGAAATAATTGCAATTATAAGCTTAATTTCATAATTCTCAAAGCTTAGTTAATCAAAGTAAACGGGGTTTTGGGGTTTTGGGGTTTTGGGG